GTGCTTCTAGGCAACCAAGTGACTGAGTAGTCTGGTGAATAAGACCATGTAACGAGTAAGGNGCGAACGCTGAGCACGAGGGCTGTCGGAGAAGCGGCACGTCACACAAAGCCATCAGCGGGTCATCTATCAGCATGCGTTTGCGTATTGGTCCGTATGTGCCGGGTGTGTTCACGACAAGGCATAAGTTTGTGTAATCACCATCCAATACCAAAACCCTCGCCGCGATAAGCACGCAAGACATGAATGACGTAGGGGGGAAGGGGGTCAACGACAAGAATATTTCTGCATGACCCCCGGCCCCTAACAGCCAGAGTACCAGATTAAAGAAGAGAGGCCACGCTGTCGTGTATACGGCAGGAATGAGCAACAAACAACAATGACGATGACGGCGACAAAAAAAAGCAACAACGACGGCACCACCATCATCAACAACAACAACAACAGCAACACCAGCAACAACATTGGCGTGCAACACTGCCACTAGCAGGCGCCAAAACCCTGCCGCCGTACACTCGTCCGTGCGTTGGCTCCCTGCTTGCCGCAACCACAGCCCTTTCCCGCCATGAAAGGGTGCGTAGATGGGAAATCCTCACTGCTTCTGGGGACATGTTGTGTCCGTTCGTGTCTCGACGTGTTTCGTCGCCCTCCCCGCTGCTCACGTGCACCTTATCTGGGGAAACATTTTGGTGACCACCCGGGATTCAGTTTTTCTTCTCTTTTTTTTGCTCCTCCGAGAGCAGGTAAGAACGACTTGAAAATGCGATAACTAAGACAAAAGAAAAAAATCACCAGCGGGTTGTAGGCGTAGAACCGCATCCCGAGCTTCTTGAGGGCGGGCAGCAGCTCCCGCTCCACTTCCCTCGTGACTGCGTTGTACATGCCCTGGTACACGGCAGGGGTTTGCCAACCGTTCGCCCTGGTGTAGGGCCGCAACAGGCACCGGGGGGGAGGGTTCACTCATGTTTCGCATTCCTTAGCGGCTAGACCATTGAACACGCGTCCTCAAGGGGATGGAGCGCTACATGCCCCGGTGCACCGCAGGAGTCTGCTGCCAACCGCTCGCCCTGGTGTTGTAGCTCCGCAACAGGCACCGGAGCTGGAGGGGGTGTACCCATCGTTGTTTGGGTTTTGAATTCTTGTCTTATTCATTTTTTCTGGAGGGATGGAAGGGGCGTTGCTACTTCATGTTTTTATTTGTTTGTCTCATTAATTCTGGGCGTCAGTCTCGGCACACCTTTCGATTGTACCTGCTGGACGCACCAATCGGGGTCACACAGGACTTCCACTCACTTGCACATGTGCCAGATGTCCACCGCCTGCCACGCGGCGTAGTTGGACAGGCCCCACTCACGAAAAAGTCCCTCCGATCTGAGCTGTACACGGGCGGGGGGGGGGAGTCCGGCCAGTATACTACACTGGGTCAAACAACTGTAACGGATGAAGCCGCGCATGTGGGCGACCTTGACAGACAACGATGTGGTGAGTTTTTCAAGCACAGCAAGGATTTATCTTCGGCAGCTGTGAAAACTTGTACAGGGTATGAAACAATGTGTGAAACAGTGTTTGCGAGCAATGCCTAGGAGTAGGTTATGTATCGCGAAGCAAGGCAGCCAGGGGGTTTCGTCCGCCGTCCTGCCACCAGCAGCGGCCCGCGGCACATAACTGCACGAACGTGTGTTCGGAAGCAAGAGTGTACTAAGAGGCTAGAAACATCAACCCAAGCATTGTGAGCGTACTCCGAACCTAGAACCAGCGAACCTGTTCCCTCCCTTCAATTTATTTGTCCGTTCATTTCAATGTAGGATGGGGGTACTCAGCACTCGATACTGATCTACGGAGATCCCACCCACCAATCTGTTACGGGTCGGAATAGCGGAGCCCCCGTCTCACCTCGTGCACGGCCCGCAGTGTCTCCTCGAGGGGGGTCTCGTGGTCTGGAGCATGGAGGTAGAAAAGGTCTACTGATTCCAGCCTTGATGCCGAGTTGACATCCATTGGGGGGAGGCCGGGAGGGTGGAGAATATTGTCGATTTGTTGATGGTGGTATCCGCGGGTAGGCCATTTTTCATATTGCACCTTGGTCAGGGCCAGGAAATTTCCAATAAACCGTGGTCCATACTAAACACCTAGACCTCCGACCTGACCACAACGCGCCTCAGGGCTTATCTCCAGAGTGTGGCCGAGGTGGGGGGTTGTGAAAAAAAATGTCACGATGCTCCGTGCATCGAAGGTGCTGTCGAACGTAGCATCGGGAGAGGGAATGGAGACACAGCAGTTCCACAACCTTACCGCAAGGCGTTAGGCAACGATAATTCAAGTATCTGCGCTTGCGAGCTGACCGGGGGCTCGAGGAAGAGAGTGACGGGGAGTTCTTCAAATCCAGCAAGTTTCACATCTGTGTCCTTGTACCACATTTTTATCATACACATGCATCCTTGTACCACTGCATAGACAGGAGAAAGGTTTCTCGATGAGCACCACCACCAACGCCCAACAGCAGCAACAGTTCTACTACAGCAAACACACACCAACATGAAATGAAGGCCGAGTGAAGCACCTGAGACTCGAGAGAGAAGCCCGAAGCTGCTCCTTGACGGACGCGGCGTTCAGCCCTCCCACGGGGTCGTCGAAAGTCTTCCCGTCCTTGTACCACGGGTTCGCCTTCGCCGCCACCCGGAAATTCTCCATCCCCGCTTCACCTTGTTTTCGGCGGCAAACGAAAAATTGCGGTGAAGCAGGCGTGGCGCCGATAAGAGAGGGTGGTGTGACCAAGACCCTCGACTCTCTCAGGGAGTATACAAGAGGGTGGAATGACCAAGACCCTCGACCCTCTCAGGGAGTATACAAGAGGGTGGAATGACAAAGACCCTCGACCCTCTCAGGGAGTATACAAGAGGGTGGAATGAC